TGTACACACACACACACACACACACGCACACACACAAGAACCCTACTCCCTAAAGGTCAGTGCACGGAGTTACTCGCCGTCCAGGTGCCAGTTTCAAACCTTAGACTCACTCCACTGAGACTTCGGCTCTCACTACTGCAATGCAGTCCGTCGCGAANAAACCTTAGACTCCCTCCACTGAGACTTCGGCTCTCACTACTGCAATGCAGTCCGTCGCGAAGGCCTGCCCTTTCTCCTTCTCAATAGTCTCAAAGGCGATACTACCCCTCAATCCCCAGTGCTGTTGCCTTAAACCAGGTCTTCATTATGCCTCACCTGAGCTGCTGCAAATATTCCCAGGTAACCCTCCTGCCTCTGGTCACACAGTCACCCACATACCTCCAGAGTTAGATTTCTAATATCCAAAGCCACGAGCAAAGGCAATAAACCCCCCACAAAAATAGAAATTAAAAAATATTATAAGGGAAAATATTTAGAATACATTAGTTAATGGGATGAGACAACAAACAAATTAAGTGTAATGTCGTCATATGTGACCTAGAGAATAATACAGCAGAGGAAGAGGGCAGAGGGTGTCCCCAGGAAGTTTTTGTTTGAAATAGGATGTTCAGGGAAGGCCGCCACGAAAGGAGAATATCTGAAGCCTAGGGAATAAGCCATGGGAACAGCGAGGGGGAATGTGACGGCAGCGGGAACAATGGGCTAAGGTACAGTGGCTTTGTGTGCTGAGCAAGTGGCGGTGCAGCCAGGGCGGCTGGAGGGGACAGGAGGCTGAAGGTAGAACAGGTCTCTAAGTGAGGTCCAACGGAAGCAGTGGTGCAAGCAAAGGGAAAAACACACAAAACGGTTGCAATTCCCCAGGCAAGAAGGGACTATGACATATGGACCAAGGGGTTAGCCAAGGAGGTACTCAGAAGTAGTCAGGCAGAAAGTACAGATGTTTGTGCAATATGTGTGAAAAAATATTTCAACTACTACTCCAAGGGTTTAAGCCTAAGGATTTGGAAGAATGAACCATTAACCACAAGTCTTTGAGAGTGATGCTTCTGAACAGGCTTTATAATTTTGAAAACTAGTTTGACACTGTGGTTAAGTACATTCCAAGAGGTCACTTACTGTGAACAGTATTTCTCCAGTACATCTTTCCTTTCAGGTTCAAGAAATTATTATAGAAACACATAATGCTTAGAAATGCCAAACTCAATCCCAGGTGCTATGTAGTAGGTAATTCTGTGAACCCCATATTGCAGATGAAGAAGTTGAAGCACAGGGGATAAATCACGCCCCTAATCAAAACTTGACCTCTTTACTCTGCTTCCTCTCAGATTTCCTTTTATATCTTATTATAATAGAATTTGAGGTTTTCAAGGCTAATAGTGGTGGGAGGCGTTCACTAGACTACAAAGGGGCATGAGAGAACTTCTGGGAGTGACGGATATGTTTTTTATCTGGATTTTAGTGGTAACTTGCATAACCTGATGTGTTTATGAAAACACAATTGTCCATTAATAAGAAAGAGTTTACTATACACAAATTGTACACCAATAAACCTGATTTTTTAAAAATAATCTAGCAAATATCATAAATTGACACATACTGGAAATGCATATATTTTGTCCAAATGTAAAGTGAATGTCTCATACTACAAAACTAGTTCTAACATTTATTTTTTTCTGATGAAAGCAATGCTCTTCATGTCATCTTCCAATGGTATTTGCTGACAAAGTAATACATTTTTATTTGTTGCCATATAATTGTTCTTGCATGACTTCAGCCAAGTTTACCACAGCAGCAACAACTAGGGTTTCCCCAATGATGTTATATCTTCCCTGCAGGGAATCTCAAATAAGGCCTCCAAACATTTATCGTAAATTTCAATGGAAACTTGTAGATGATTCAATTAAACATGACTTTAAACATGCTGAAAATGCCAGAGAGGTATGCATTTTATTTGTGTTTCAGATGTTATTAAGAGTCTTGCTATTTTTGCTGCTGTATACTATCACTAACTGACACCTCAAGACAAAATATGTTCTTAGAACAAGTTTAATCACTTATAAGAGACAAAGCCCTATTTTATGGTCTTCTTGATAATTTAAAGTTTATAGCTAGCTCATTAATGAATCTGAGGATATCAATGTTTATGTCATATAAAGAATCTGAAAAGTATCCTGTAATAGGAGTAGGAAAAATGTCAATTTTGTCATTTTTTTAAAATTGTAGACTTGGGCATGTAAAATAATCTTCATTTTGTAATTCTTATTTAACACTTCATAAAATCAGTTGTCTAAATATGAGGACTAGTCTAGTTAAAAACTGACAATAACTCCATTAATGCACTTATCCAAATATGCAACATCAGCACACCAAAATACTCTTAAAAACAAACATTACCATCAAAATCCAATGAGATGCCACTTGATAACCATTTGGATAGCTATAATCAAAGTGACAGACAATAGTAACTTTTGGCAAGGATATGGAGAAACTGGAACACTCATATTTCTGTTGGGAATGTAAAATGGTTCAGCCACTTTGTAAAATAGTTTTGAAATTCCTCAAAAGGTAAAACATAGTTACCATATGACCCAGCAAATCTACCTCAGGTATATATACAAAAGAAATGAATACATATAACTACACAAAAACTTGTGTACAAATATTTATAGCAGCATTATTCCTAATGGTCAAAACATGTAAAAAGAAAAAAACCCAAAGCACATCAACTAATGAATGGATAAGCAAAATGTGATATATCCATATAATGGAATGTTATTCAGATATAAAAAAAATTAAGTACTATTTCATACAACAAGGGTGGAATTTGAAAATATTATGTTAAGTGAAAGAACAGATACAAAGGGCTATGCATTGTATGATTCCATTTATGTCTTAAATCCATAGGGGCAGAAAGTATATCAGTTGCCAGAGGAGGGCAGGGGGAAGGGAGGTCTCCTGGGTACAAGCTTTCTTTTACAAAAAATGTTTTTGATTAGACAGTGATGATAGTCATATAACTATGTGAATATACAAAAAAACACTAAATTATAATACCTTAAAAGGGTGAATTTATGGTATATTAATTATATTTCAATTAAAAAAAAACACAAAAACAAGGAGGCAAATACCTGTCAATGATTCAACACAATTCAACACTAAAAATCCCTATGATTCCTCCAGAAACTTCATATTTGGCGGCCTATAGCAGTCATTATATTATATGTTATAAGGTCTTAATTCTTTCTCATTTTCCTCATGAAAATAAACACCAGGAGAGCTCTAAAAGTTTCTACTCATAACACTAGCATTCTACTCATATCATTAAGCACTCCAGAGGTTAAGATGGAGAATTAAGCTTTATTGTGGCAAATCTGATATTTCATGACTGTTCCAAACCTACTTTTCCAGACTCATCTCCTAACATTGTCCACCCACATGAGGCTAAGCCTTCAGCCACCCTACCAAGAGCAGTTCTTCACTGGCCATCCCTTGCTCCTTCAGGCCTTTCCCCAACCTACTCTATTGGCCTGGAATGCGTGACCTCACCTTCCCTAACCTAACAGCCTCTCAGTGAATTTCACAGCTTCCAAGAAAGTTTTAAGAGCCTCCACCTAAAGTGCAACCCCAACTTTTTGTCTCCTCCCAGTTTGTCATTGACTATTTTAAAAATATATAAAATAATTTATTTCGTAGAGTTTCATTTCCCACCAGCATTTATTTTCTTCAGAGCAAGTAGATCAGATTTAAGTCTTGCTTGGGTTCATTTTTAAAAATTATTAAATCAGCCTGCTTTTGTTGATTTAATGTATGTATTTTACTAAGTACCAAAAGCCCATTTCATATTCAAGTCAGTAACAATGACTGAAAATTTATGTTAATGTATAAATAAGCTAATAAATACAAATAAAGTACATTCAATCATATGTACTCCAGAAAATAGGAATACTATTAGTTGTTTGCATAGTGAATGAATGTGGACAAGAAGGCAGTGGACAAAGAAATTAAGGTAGAAATATCACAAGAAGGAATAACGATTGGAAAATTTAGTCTCTACAAAGGCAAGTGCAATATTTCTACAGTCTAAGCCACTCAGTCCCTTGAAGTAAAAAGAAAAATAGAAAACTTTTGAAAATAGATTGATAATAATTTATAATACATACTGAATGTATCAGTAATTCAAAATGAATGAATTATTTTAATATTAAGAAAAATAATAAAGTTGATATTTCTAATTTTAGGCTGTATATAATATATTATAGACAATACAAAGTCACTCGATAGGAATTAACTTCAGTAACGTCAAAAAAAAAGGAAATTCCAACTTTATTATTGATTGATTATCATATAGGCCTGCTTTGTCTTCAAATGATTTGAAGAAAATGCACAAATGAATGCTGGCCTAAGGTTACGTTCTTCAAAGTCTTTTATGTTGAACTCTATAAATATATTTGTGATAAATAAAAACATTACTTCTAAAAATAATTTCCTTTATATTAAATAGCTTGGTGCTATAAAATAAATATACTTTATTTCCTAATATTCCATTTACGGTCATAGATATGTAATTGAGAACAAATAGAAATAATTAAACAAAAATGACTTTAGTTGACTGTGTTGGTATACATGCACCAATTAAAAACAAAACTATGAATAGACATTCAATATTAGACTTTTAAAAAGGTAATAGAGCTATTTGCCTTTCCAAGGAGATAGAGAGCCATTAAGATTATTACTTTTAGTAGCTCATTTATATTTAATATAGCTGGAATATACTTCCTCACAGCAGAAAATACTTCCAACTAGATTATTTACATATTTGTTGACAAGAAATGTCACTTGATTTCCAAAACATATAAAATTTAATTTTAGTAATTCATTAAACAGTATCATGAATTTTCAATATGATACTCATAAAAGAATATACTAACTTGAATATAAATATGTTAAATACACTTGGAAATTGCTATCAAATAGATTGGCAACAATAATCTTCTAATTACCTTAATGTGGTTTTCAGTTGTTAAATATCCATGTTTTCTTCCTCCAATTTACTGAACATTTAAACATTTCTGGAAAAAAAAACATCAAAAAACAGACATTTAATTATTGCTGAAAAAAATACCTTATTTTATGGTCATAGTTGTAGAACTATTTGAATAAATTTTTATATTTCTTATTGTTTGCCAGTGTAGCTTTCCCCACAACGCTTAAGGTATAGCAGAAAAATCACGGTTTAAAAACAAAATTTAATTTACCTACGACACATTTTCTTCCATAGTCTAATTTACTATATAATGCTCACTGAGAAAAGGTAATGAATTTGGTATGTAAGAAATTTAAATATTTTCCTAATTAAAAGAACACATGAATTTTTAAAACATATTCCGAGATTTCCAATAAATTTTTTGGTTTCTTGTAACAGCTTCTTCAAGCTAAGATCCTAGAATGCATCTAATCACTTTTGCCTTAGACAGACTGCTGTGGAAGAAACAACAACTGGAAAACCCCTGAGTACATTTCACTACCTAATCATACATACACACACATATATACGAATTCTCCATATAGTAATGTATACATATGCTGAGACTGTAATTGTAATAATCTAAACAAATTCAGATTTCATCCATATTAGAAATACATAAGAGTTTACTTAAAAGGTAGATTTACAAGAGGGGTGGTCTTCATTTTCTTTTAACTGCCACAATATTTTTATATTTCTTTCATTATTAAACTAATAATCAACACGTCAGACATTTCACCAAATAAAGTTCTGATGTCCTTCAAAGAATTTTCTTTGGAATTTCAATGTTTTCTAATGTTTTTGCAACCAGTCATCAATTTTTGAACTTTCTAGCAAGTTATAAATGCTTTGTACAAACATCAGCTGCATTAGTTATGATACTTAGTATTTGTTATGGTATTAGTAGTATTATGCTATTAGCTATTAGTATTATGCTATTAGCAGGAGGTTAATTAACCTTATATGTGCCAAAACAATGACAATTCATTATACACTCAAGTCTTACCTCAAATGGATAAGAAATTCAATATGATGATAGTGATTTGCATAAAATTATAATTAAGTTATCCTTTACAGAATCACTATTATTACCAATACACACACACACACACACACACACACACACACACACAAATTAGAGGGAAAATATTCACTAATAGAAGTATTATATTTGCCCTGGCCCTGGTGTGGCTCAGTTGGTTGGACATTGTCCCCTGCACCAAAAGGTCACTAGTGCCCAGTCAGGTGTGGCTCAGCAGTTGAGCTTTGGCCTAGGATCCAGGGGATCACAGTTTGATTCCTGGTCAGGACACATGCCCAGGTTGCGGGATCAATCCCCAGCAGGGGGCATGCAGGAGGCAGCCAATCAATGACTCTCATTATTGAGGGAGGGAGGGAGGAAGGAAGGGAGGAAGGAAGGGAGGAAGGAAGGGAGGAAGGAAGGAAAATCACTCATTGCTTTCCTGGTCAGGGCACATGCCAGGGTTGTGGGCTCAATCCCCAGTAGGGGGCGTGCAGGAGGCAGCTGTTCAGGAGTGAATGCCCTCAAGATTCTCAAATAGCAGCATACTGATTATTATTGTCTATATTTGATAGGAGAATATTTATAAGTAAAGCAAAAAATAAGCTTCCTTAAAAGAATTTTTCAAAAAATAAGCATCAGAATATCATAACACTATTGAATATTACTAAAAATGCACCTTCATATTCTGGTATGAGATTCCAAAAAATCCAGTAAAAATTAGTCTGAAATTGAGATAAAAAGATACTTTATTGTCTACGTATGACATTAATCACAAAATTATGTGACATCTCCTACTGAACTATTCAGTAAAATTTCATTAAAAAAATGCAGAAGTGACATGTACAAATATACTTTTAAAAGATTATTTGGTTGTCACTTAATAGATGGTTTTTAGTGTAAGATTACAGTGATATTTCTTTAAAGATGTGTAAAGATGGAGATTTTAAAAAAATTAAATGAATCTTTTTACTCATTCCATTCAAATCATTTTTCCAACTATTTTTTCCCAGTCTATCTATTTAGTCTATCGGTTATCTTCAAATAGCATCTACTTTCATTCTTTATTGACAGCCATCATCATGTACTACAACATTATCTCTGAGAGTGTTCAGATTTGTAATTCATCTCATTTTCAATACCATAATCCTTACAGCCATGTGAAGCGGGCAGAGAAGAAATATTTTCTATTTTACAGATTAGAAAGCTGTGACTTTCAAAGATTACCATGGTTATCATCTGATAGTGCCAAGAGGAGATTCCAAGGTATTTTTATCTTCATTTGGCCTCCTGCCACCCCATGTTTTCACCACAGGCCCCCATACCTAGCATATTGCAATGGTATTCTTATCACATCAACCTAGCCCCTCTCAAATCTATTCTGGTAAATGTCTGCAGGGTAATCTGAGACCTCATTTTTCTCATAATGGTTTTCTGCTCAGTAACCCACAAAAGCACCCTATTGCTATCCACAGAGTCTTGTTTTCAAGACCCACTACAGGATGAATGTTCTCTTCTGATGGAAACATTTTTTTGGACACTACTGCACCAAAAAGAATGTCCACATCAGCCAGCTTGGGCTGCTGATTGTGTCCTCAAACAGGTTATAATGGACACAGTGGCTTGTTAATGCAATCCCCTGTGCCAAGAATGCACTCTGCACTTGTCTACACTTATATACCAAATACCATAATAACACAACATAAGGTCTCATTCTCCCATGAAAGTAGCCTCAATACTCTGAACACAATCAAATCTCTAAACTCCTGGTGCATTTTAAATGGGGAGTGCACAGTTCAGTCCTAAATACACCACATTTTCCATGTGTGAAGTTTTACAAGTAAGCCATTGTAAAAAGGAGAATGCCTTGGGGCAGCACTTTTAAATCAATGACAAAACTGGACAAAATTGCCAAAACCTACAGTTTCAGGACATGGAAACTGACTAGTCATGCAATAAATTAAGAAGTGTTTATTCTAGAAAAACTACTCTACTTTTGGTAATAACAGTGGTAGAATTTCTTCCTGAGAGATCCTGTAAATTTCTTCCTGAGAATTCTCCCTCCCATCTTTCCCTCCCACTCCCTGCTAGACATTTAGGTCATAAAGCAAATCAATGTTTTGCTATTAAGATATAATAACAAATCTTGATAAATTTAAAAGAAATGAAATTAAACAAAATGAGTTGTCTAAAATATATGTAATTAAATTTAAAATAAAAAATAATAACTTTTGGAAATCCCTAAATGTATGGAAATTTAAATAAACACTGCTAAATATCCCATGTATAAAGAAGTCACAAGAGAAATTAGAAAATATTTTGAACTCAATCAAAACTAAAGAACAACATATCAAGCTTTGTGGAATGCAACTAAAGCAGTGCTTAAAGGCAAATTTATAGCTTTAAAATGCCCATATTAGAAAACAAGAAAGTGCTCAAATCTGTAACCAAAGCCATCACTTTAAGCAAGTAAAAAAAAAAAAAAAA